TGCCAGGAACAGGAAAAGGGGGGATATGTGTTGATGAGTACCAAGAGTGAGGGAGAAAGAGAAGGAATGGTGTGGAGAGGATGCTCATGAGCCGTCTTCCTACTGATTGCTTTTATGTAGAGTGGCCCTTGTCTTTGCTGTGCCCAAAGTCATGAGGCAATCATGAGGAACAGAAAAAAGCTTACTTATGTAGGTTCCCAACAGTCCTGTTTGGGGATGGGTGAAGAGGGAGAGGAGGAGGGAAAGAGGAGAAAGAGGAAGAGAGCCTTCCAGGAAAAAGAGGAAGGGAGGAAGGGAGCCTTCCAGGAAAAGTCTTCACTCCGAGGTAGCCATGACTACTTCAAGAGTTAATTTTTCTACCACCTTTGAAACTCCTTCTCCCTTCCCAGATGTCCTTCACAGGAAGGCTTTTGGTTCACTTCTTGAGGAAGAGAGCAGGTTCCTATTTTCCTACATAAAAATTTGTCAGGTGATTGATTATGCCAACCTTGCCCAACCCAATCACATCTTCCCTAGGTATGTAAACTTCCTGACCAAAGACAGACTTCCTACACATCATACCAAAGAGAAAACAGAAGGGAATGAGGCCAACACGTGCTTGGCAGACGTGCTCCAAGTGTGCCCTGTGGAGAACCAAGGGCAGAAACATGCAGGGGCTAATGTGCTTCAGATGAACATGGTTAGAATCTGTGTTTGAGAACAAATAGGCTTTCCTCAATGCACACAGGCTGGGAGGAAGGGGGTGGGGTACAAAGGAATGCATGGAATTACTGGAAGAACATCTGGTTCAATTAAAGAATAAAACCCTTTTAAAAAAAAGAAAAAGGCCACCACAACCAGCCTTCAGAGAAGCTAAGAAACAAGGAGGACCCTAAGAGAGACAGACATACAGAGTTTCCTGGAGAAGGGGAAATGGACAAGAGCTCCTGAATAAATTGGGAACATGGGGGAGGGGCAGAGAGGGAGGAGAAAAAGGAAAGGAGAAGAGGAGGGGAGAGGAGAACATGAGGGATCAGGAAGGTCGAGTTGGGGGATGAATAGAGGAGAGCAAGAAAAGAGATACCATAATAGAGGGAGCCATTGTAGCTTTTAAAGAGAAATCTGACACTAGGAAAATGTCCAAAAATCCACAAGGATTACCCCAACTAAGAATCTAAGCAATAGGGGAGGGGCAACCTTAAATGACTTTCCCCTATAATGAGACTGATGACTACCTTAAATGTCATCCTAGAGCCTTCATCTAGTAGCTGATGGAAGCAGAAGCAGAGATCAACAGCTAAGCACTGAGCTGAATCCAGTGTAGAGAGGGAGGAGTGATGAGCAAAGGGGTCAAGACCATTCTGGAGAAACCCACAGAAACAGCTGACCTGAGCAAGTGGGAGCTCATGGACCCCACCCAGTCAGACAGCTGGGAAGCCAGCGTTGGACCGAACCAGGGCCCCTGAGCTTGGGTGAAAGTTAGGAGGTCAGGGCAGTCTTTGGGGCTTCTTGCGGTGGAACCAGTATTTATTCCTAGTGTGTGAATGGACTTTGGGAGCCCATTCTCCCATGGAGGGATATTCTCTCAGCCTAAATACACGCGAAGGGCCGAGGCCATGTCCCAATTGATGTGACAGACTTTGATGAGCTCCCATGGAAGGCCTCACTCTCCCTGGGGAGTTTATGGGGAGTGGGGTGGGATGGGTGGGGAGCATGGAAGAATGGGAGGGAGAGGGAACTAGGATTGATATGTAAAATAAGATTTTTTTCTAATTTAAATTTAAAAAAGCCAGGGGATTTTGTAGCTGATGTTGCAATGTTGGTGGTAGCTTTGTTTCTCAATATGCTGAAGCAGGTACACTGTATCTGTTGAGTGAATGAATGAATGAAACTATGGAAAACTTCTTTGTGTATGAGGAAATTCACTCACGCTATAATCGTTAAAAAAAAATCAGTGGTTCTGTTTTGTTTTATCTTTGGATTCTCTGTTCTAATATAATCTTGGTGAACACAGATAAACAGTTGCGGTGAGCTCTCACAGAAAATCTGTTGCCAGCCATATACCCCTTCCTGGTACAGAAATTTCAATTCATAGGTCTGGGGAGAGGCACTCAAGGCCTGATGTCCTCAGGAAACATTCAGAGGCAGGCTTAGGACACTGTTCCCAGGATCCACTGAGCATAAGAGTGGACGTCTCATGGGTGGCAAGAGTGGTGGGGATGTTGGGGGGTGGTTGTAGCCCTTTCACACCTTGAAGTCAGTGTTCACCTTAGATCTCTGCACGCTCTTCCTTTTACCACAACTGCCTGTTTGTGGTTTTCTCAAGCTTTCCCTCAGCACTGATTTTGGCTTTTGGTGAGATTTTTCTGCATTTTTAAGACAAGGTCTGGTGTGGGCCAGGGTGACCCTGAACTTATTCTGTACGCACATATCTTCCTGTCTCCACCTCCCAAATGCTGACATTACAGGTATGTCACCACACCCAACTCCCTGTTTAGTTTTTTAAATTTGCTTTTATTTGTTGAGTCTGTGTCTCATGTAGCCCAGGCTAGCCTCGAACTTACTGTGTAACCAAGCCTGGTCATGAATGTCATACCCTCTGACTTCTACATCCACACATTATTATGATGCCTGCTTCCCTCGTTTGCTCCTGGTCAAGTGACAGTTTAAGAAAGGTCTGGAGGCTTGGTTTCCAAACACAAGCTTTCAGAGGTTGCTGTTCCTTCAAGAAGAGAGTTGGTTTTATTTTTCCAGGAGAATGTATTACAATAAGGCCTTATTTAATGTGTTTTCTATTTAGCAGAAAACTGATCATATATGATCACTATACAACTTCGTAATTTTGTTGAGCAGTGAATAGCTCTATAATGCATTGTGAAGACTGGAAGCTTTTTATCAGTTAATGATAGTTCTTAGAATTTGAACCCTGGGCCCTTTTCAAAGTGCTACCTAGTATCTTTGTCATCAGAAATGTGTATAGAATTCATTTCCCACTTCTTTTCCTCAAGCCGGCTCCCTGGAAAAGCTTCTAATGAACTTCTCTTGTGACTAATTTCCTAGTACCCTCTAGAACCTATGAAAGGATGGATGGGCCTCCTCTGAAAGGCAAACAGTTGAAATGTGTCATCTTAGTCTCAGCTCCTTGGACTTTTCTAGATGACCTTGAAAGGGTCATCTTGGCATTCTTTAATGAATACCATGGAAAGGTGTGTGCTATGATCTAAACCACTAGAATTCCTTGGGTTCTGTCTCCAGACTTGGGTTATATATCTTAGGAGAGAGTTTATTTACAGACAATGATTATGTGCAAATTTCTGTGGAAATACAGAGGATTTTAATCTCCGCTTCCCTCTGGAACATCTCTCCTCAATCTCAGCATAATTTCTTTCAGTTTTGATCAGGATGTCAGGATGCGTGATGCATAACTAATGGACTTCCCACTGCCATCTGGCAAGCTGCATGAGTCCACAGCACACATTCCAGCAGAAGCCAGACCACAAGCCTGCTTTAAATGAAAGCAGGTTGGGGGGGGCTGTCCATAGTGAATCCCCCTAGAGCTCCATCCATTTCCTTCTATGGGGAGTTCTAGCTTTAGCCATCAGGAAATGTCTGTAGCTTTCAAGGCAATGTCCTTCCCTTACCTGCATTAATGAAAGTAAAATTTAGTTTTCAAATTTCTTTGTTACTAATGAAAACTTTTCTTGCTTATAGCATTTAAGTTTTCTTTCATTTGAATCATTCATACATCATTACTTGTTACCAACATTTTTAATTATATCAGGATGTTGAGGGATTTCTTATTTGGGAGGAGATGCTCATGCATATGAACTCAGATTCAAAATTTGCTTTGATAATTATAGGAAAATATCTTCGTTGACCGGCTTGGAGCTTCTGCTTCTGTCATTAGCTCCTCATCTCAGGATGAGATGGTTCACTAAAGTGCTTCATGTAATAGCAGAGTAAATGAGAACCCTAGCATCACAATTACATTCAGGGTAATTTATGCACTTAATAATTCTTCTGTGGATTTTTTTCTTTCAGAAGTACTTACTGCCATGTTTTTTTTCACACTATGCCATTCCCAGGTTGGAAATTTTCTATGCATCATATCTACATATGTAAACCCATAGTATATTAGTTATTGTAAGTCAAAGCAAGCCAGCTTGAATATGCTTAGAATAACAATCTATGTTGCTGGCTTTAAAATTTGTGTTATGTTTCTTCTTTAAAATTTTTCAATTTAATTTGCTTATTTATCATTACTGTATGTACTTGTGTCTGGTGTGTGTCTGAGTGTGGGCACATACATGCCAGGGTACATGTGTGTGTGTCAGAGGACAAACACTTGGGCTCCGTTCTCTCTTTCCACTTTTAAGGTTAAGGCAGGGTGTCTGCCGTTTCTGCCATGGTATACACTCCAGGCCAGCTGGTCCATGGGTTTCTGGGTGATTCTCCTGTCTATGCCTTATATCTCCATAGAAGTGCTATAATTACAGACATGCACCATCATGTCCAGCTTTTTATATGCGTTTGAATTCTGGTCGTCAGGCTTGTGGGTCGAGCACTTTTACCCCATGAGCTATCTTATCAGCTCTCTTTCAATATCAAGGGAATGTGGGGTAGCAATTTGTATCACATCACATTAATCACAAGTATTTTTACAGAGTTATCATGATGGTACCTCCTTTAACTGATAGTATCTTAAACCCAATCATATAGAGTGAGTTGAGACAAGACCATAACATGGCTGAGTCTCAAGAATTATGGAATTAGAAGCTTAACTATTGCAGAACTTGTCTAGGACCAGGACTTCCTTCATTTGGTTGGCTTTATTTCTTATGCATTGATTACTGGTTCCTTCTATACAGCAAATAACAGAGCCACCGCATTAGTTAGGGTTCTCATTATTGTGACCTGACAAAAAGGAACTTAAGGGAAGAAAGCTATTTTGGGGCTCAGTGTTCTTAAGAAGGAATGCGGTCCATTATAGCATGGAAACCATGACAACAGCAGTATGAGGCAGTTGGTCAGGAAGCGGGGCTGGGCTGTAAAACCTCAGGCCCACCCTCAGTGATTCACTCCCTCCAGTGAGGCTCCACCTCCTAAAGGTTCCACCATCTTTTATAATAGCACCGCTATGTGAGGTCAAGCACTGAAACACATGAACTTACGAGGTTACACTTTACATTCAAACCATCACAGCTACCTTATGAATTCCAGCGCCGAGTCACACCAAAACTCCCAGTGAAGTTACCCAGTGTCTTGGTTTGGGTGAAGTTCCCACTGCTAGAGCAATGCCATCATATTTGACTGGGCACATATCATCCTGTAAGAATTATATGGAGCGGAGCTGAATCAGACTGGTCCTAGTGGTCATGTGAGTTTAAGTGCGGTGGGGAGAACTGAACTCCGAGAAGCAGTGATGGGGGAGGGGCGCTAACATGGGCATCTTCCATTGTTACTTTGCATCAACAGATGGTGGACTCCTGTGGTTTGGTAGTGTTAAAATCTTTACCAGCTTCCTTCCAGTTCTACATTTTGTTTTCCTCACAGCTGGAGCCACTCAATTCCACTCAATTTGCACTCATAGGCTAAGCCCTGCATAAATCTTAGGACAAATTACACAAAGGCCGATTCAGGAAAAATAAGGTTGTTTATGGATCACTTTCCCCCAATCAGTTAGAGGACAGCACTTTATTGAATAGAAAGAATGTTTGCTTGTAGCAGAATCTATCAGTTGTATAAGCTCACTCCAGACCCTTCTGTAGTGTATCTCAGAAGTTAGGTAGCTAAAGCTGAACTTTGTAGATTACCTTGCAAGTTTTCCCCCAGAAACCTGGAAGGTGGCATGAACTATGGATGCTGCCATCCAGGGGGTTACCAGGGGCCTGGGATGGAATTTATCATTCTCTGGAGTCACTATCACAGTGACACTGCTATCTGGTAGTCAATGCTCAAGGGGTACTAAGAGGTTTCCCTGCTTTAGATAGGTTCCTGTGTAGTTAAATGTTTCCCTGGTGACATTGTTTCTGTGTGGACATCAAACTTGTTTCTGGCTCTTTTAGAAATTCTGTAAGCTCAGGTAGTAATGATAAATCCATTTCTGTTGACACTATTGTGCAATGATTCTGCTGTCTGCAGGGCATATCCCTAAGCGATGCTATGCCTTGAAGAACACAGAACACAGAAATAGGGATAACTGCCATCAAATGGAGAAGTATTCCATGCAATGTTTTCCAATCCTTTTATCCTTGATATCCACATTAGAGCTCATATAACATGCTCACCTACATTGACTCATAAGAGGCAGACAAACGTGCATAACCCCCCATCACTTGTGAACGTGTGATTAGATGTCTTAGCTCCAATCTGCACATAGTTAAATAACAGTTGATGCAGCGTGAGCCAACAAGTGTTACACAACACTCTACACACATGTGCAACTATGACCTGGGCTGTGGTCTACCAAAGCCAGTGTATGTTTAATATGGATGCTAGGGCTTGCCTGCTTGTACCACCACTTGCTTACTTGCCCTGGCTCTGATTTCCATCTTGGAGGCCTATAGGCATTTTGCCTCTTAGAAAACCGATGCCTTTCAACTCACTGTTTTCATAGGAAGCCCTCACCAGAGCCCCTGAAGAACTCCTGAGGTGTCCCATGCTTCTACTTGTTCCAATGGCTGCTGAAATCCCTATGAATATTGCTTTTGTAGTTGGTAACCTGCCAGTGCTTCAAAGAAGAAAGGCGACACTCTCTCCTCCCACTGTGGTCACTTCCAGTCTGATCCCTTATCATAAGTGACACAGGCACCTTCTATGCCATCTTCCACACCATCTCACCCATCACTCCACCTCTTGTCTCATCTCTGAGACACAGAAATCGGGTTTTTCGTCTGTTGTACTTCTAAACTACTGTCTATGACATAGACTTTTAGCTCCAAGCATTCCAAGGCTTTGATCTTGATTCACAACACCATGACTTGGTGACTGACTGAAGCTCAGGTCTTTGAAACCCAAAGTATTGGCTATGAGTGGCCAATGTCCCTGACCCAGTGCTTCATAACCCTGCTCTCTCTAACAGGGTATGTATATGGCAGGAACATGACTATGAGAGTTAAAACACGGCAAGGATTTTGTTGTTGTTGTTGCCAAAAAGGAAAGACAAAATTACAGAGATTGATACATTAAAATAGTATCCCACACTAAAGGAAAATTTGGGAATTTTGCCTGGGTGTGATTATTATGAGGAATGGAGGAGGGTTGGTAATAGTGTGAAAGCAGATTTCTATTTTCATTCTGTAAATTTCTTTTTGTGTCTGTAATTATTTATAAATATGTTTGAACATTAACTTCTGTAGGAAAACCACTGATTATAAAAAACAATAACAGTTTTCAACAGGCATTGTGGTTTAATTTTTGGCATTGTTCTTTAATTCTTGGCATAGTATTTGTATATGTGTGAATGCTAACCTTTTGTGTGTGTGTGTGTGTGTGTATGTGTGAAGTATATGTGTATAGTGTATGTACATGATGATGATGTGTGTGAGTGGATGTGAAGTATATGTGTGAAGTGTATTACATGACGATGGTGTTATGACGATGGTGTTTGTGTGTGTGTGTGTGTGTGTGTGTGCATGTGTCTATGTGTGTACATGCAGAAGCCAGAGAAAGGTTTTAGAAGCCCTCCTTTATCACTCTCTGATATGCTGCTTTGAGGCAGAGTCTCTCACTAAACCTAGATCTCATGATTTTGATCTAGGCTAGCATATAGCAAGCTTCAATGATCTTCCTGTCTCTGTTCTTCTCAGTGGGACCATACCTAGCTTTTATGGGAGTGCTGAGATCCAGACTTGGGAACCCATGCAGGCACAATAAACACTCATAACTGCTCTCAAATCCTGAACATTTTACCCTTGATCTTCATTGTTCATTATATTGATGCCAACCATGGTTGCACTTTTATGTCTCTCTGACTCTTTCCAGACAGATGAACTGATTTCCTTTCTGGACTTCTTCTGCATCCTTCCTTCAAGACTGAGCTGTATGATGTTTCCCATGCCTGCTGGGACTCTCCACATACCATTACCATGGTACTTAACAGTGGTGAAATTTGTATTTGCATCTGTGCTTATCTTCTCCACTCTGCTATGAACTTTTTGAGGATAGAAATTGTAATTCATTCATCACTACAGCGCTTAATGCTTATTCATATTCTGTTCCTGCATCTCTAACATAGAATTGCTGTCCTGGCATTATAAGAAGTATGTGCAAACACAAATACTGAGTTGACTTACCTCCCTCTGCTACTTGACCAGTTATTTTTTTCCTATACCTTTATTTTTCAGATCCATTGCAACTTTTCTTCACATTCTGAGGAATAACCTCCTTCCTCCTTAATTTACTAAGAACATTCAGTTCACTGTCTCTTTCCTTTAATCTTAACTGATGGTGAACCCCCTTCTTGAGAACTAAACCCCCACTTCTAGTTTTCAAAACATCTTGCATTTTCTCTTGAATCAAAGCCATTTAGTCCATGAGCTACCACTACTTTCTGGAATCTGAGACATAAATGGGCTAGAGTTGGTAATTGCAATTGGATTAAACATTTGTTTATTCAGTTACTACTGAATGTTTATTAAATGCCAAGCACCATTCTTGATGCAAGGTGACATTGACAATTAGGACTCCATTTCTGTGCCCGAATAGTGAGGCTCTTAGAGGAAAATGGGTGGCACTTCCAACAGGGATAAGTCGAGGACCATATAGATAGTTTAGGGAAAACACATGAGATAGTGTATTCTCATAAACCTAGTAAGAATCAGAACCCATCACCATCACCAGGTGTGAAATGAGTTGTAGGAGCTCAGCTGATAGAAAGTTAAAGAGAGGTGCCAGTAAGCTGTGTGGAGATGCTTCCTGACGGGGCATGGTTTAAAGTTAGTGTTACAGTCATCCCATGGCAACTGAGCAAGGCAGGGCCCCGGAAGAAACACTCTAGCTTTACTCTCCTTACCTGGCTGGTACTCCTCCCAGACCTGTGGTGACAAGTGGGAGAGGAAGCCCATTGGTCAGCCTCTTGGAGCCTAGCTGGAGAGAGCTATGCAGACTGGATCGGCAGTTGGAAAGCTGTTCAGTAACTGACAGGACTAAATGTGGGCAGGATAGTGACATGGTGAGCTGCATCCCCAGGAAACTCCAGGGACCAGGAAAGAGTGATCTCAAAGTGGGGAGTGATCATCAAGAGATGGGTACAGGGGTGAAGGAGAGAGCTCATAAGGCTGGTATTTGGGCTGGAAATGGTGATAAATCTAGAAATGTTCAAGATGAACTTGGAAATGTTAAGTCCTAGAGATTGCATGTAAGGATTGAGGGAAGATGCTGGACGATGACTCACAGGTTTCTAGCCAATGTAATTGTTAGAAGATGGCACATTTAGCTGAGAGTAGCAGACTGAAGAGAAGACGGAACATTTGGGACTGGAGCTACCTGGATGATATAGCAGGTAGTCTTAAGAAAAACCACCTTAAGATGTAGGGAAAGAGGCCTAGGCAAGAAGGATGGATCTGACACTTCCTAACATGTTGATAGAAACAAGACTGGAAGTTAAGGTTATAATTCCAGCTATTTGGAAGGCTAAAGAAGGGAGATCAGCCAGGGCAGCAGAGATCATCCTGGGTCACTTGTCTCAAACTAAAAACACTTGCTTCTATTGCAGAGACCCCAGTTCTCAGCACCCACATCAGGCCACTCATAGTCACCTGTAACCCCAGCTTCAGGTGATCGGATACCTCTGGCCTCTACATATGTGCACCTGCATATTTGTGTACATACACACAAAACTAAAAAAGAAAGAGCAAAGCAAAGAAAGGACTGGGAGCCTGGCAAAATGGCTCAGTTGGCAAAGGTGCTCTCCACCAAGCCTGAAAACCTGAATTTGACTTGTGAGACCCATATGATAGAAGGACACATCTGATTCCTGAGTGGACATTCCTCTGATGTCCACTCAGATACCACGACATGTGGGCACATATATACACATACCTCACACATACATGAAATAAGTATAAATTAAAAAATATTAAGGGTTGAAATTGTAGCTCCACGGTAGAATGCTTGTAGACCATGTGTGAAGCCCCATTGCCAAGATAAAAGAAAATAAAACCAGCCGGGCGGTGGTGGCGCACGCCTTTAATCCCAGCACTCGGGAGGCAGAGGCAGGCGGATCTCTGTGAGTTCGAGGCCGGGCTGGACCGATAGCCTCCAAAACAATACAGAGAAACCCTGTCTCGTAAAAAACAAAAAAACAAAACAAAAAAAAAGAAAAAGAAAAGGAAATAAAGCCATATAGCTAGGATGTAGTTGAAATATGTAAATACA